ATCTATTTCTGCACATATCACTATAGTGCTTTAGTTTTGAAAAAATAAAAACAAGGCTTGCATGTGAGACTAACTTGTTCAAGTAATGAATGCCAAATCAGGCATGGTGTTAAGTATCAAACAATGATGTGGTTATGACATTCCTTGTTTTTAACTTGATCTTTAGTCTCTCCCAAACCTTGTTCTTGTTTCCTAAACTAGAAGATAAAGATTTTGAGGCCTGATGGTTGATAAGGATTTTGCCTTGTTAAGCATCTTGTTTTGTTGTATATAGCGTTGGCAAACTATTGCATTTACTATTTTTTTTTATTAAATTGTTGTGTGTGAAGTATGAAGATGGTGTCAACCAATACAAACTTCGTTGAAGAAGAAGAAAGAAGAAGATCTTGGGAAAGACCTTTTCAAGAAGTTGAACCACTTGCACTTCAAAATTTTCTTGAACACACTTGAACCAATAGCAAAAAATAACAGTGAATAAAGGAGATTTGAATTTTGATATTGAAAAGATATAAAGACGTCGTAAAATGAGTGTTAATGGAAGTATTTAAGGCTTGTATTGGTGTTTAAAACATCCTTGATCAATAGATATCTCGCTTATGAAGAATTATAACTTTTAGGATAAATCACCATATCCAACGGACATATTTTTGAATTTTCATGTAGGGCATTCGAATGACCTATTTATTTTCACACAGAAAGTTCTATAGGCATTCAACTGTCCTCTCAAGGCATTCGACTCCCTAAGGCCAAACTTATAACAAAACTGTAAAGCTTATTTTATACTTTTAAAAACATCGTTTCTCAACTCGTATGCATACTGCATGATTTAAAATCAATGTTTAACATTAAAATGAATTTAGAAAAAACTTCTCTGATAATATAATATATACAACATGTTCTCTACTTAATCACTTGTTAACCAATGCAACTAACCGCTCAATGTTTGTCTCCCTCCTTTCTTTTTTTGTATGTGAATATTGTCAATTAATATACCTAGTGAATCAGGTAGCTAATCTTTAATCATTCTTTTTGTGGAAAACATAAAAACAAAAAAAAAAAAACATTTATAGTGGCATAGTAGGGGATGATCTAAGTTAAGACTAAGACTCTAAGCAGTACCTTTTCCTATCTACTTAGATGATTTGATCTCCTTAACTGGAACTTATGTCTTTTGTATGATATATTGTCACGCCCCAATCCTAGTTTTGACAATTTGAAACATGATATAGTGATACAATATGAATAAAAGATGTAGAGTTAACACGGTTTATAATTTTACAAAAGCTATAAATATGTTTAATAAAATAAAAATTTATATTTTATATTTTTATATTGACACGAATTATAATACGTAATTTTTATATAAAAAATAATATAAAAACGATATTTTATATGATACGATGATACGAATTATTAAATCTATCCAAACTCAATAGAGCTTTCCATAAGAATCATTAAAAAAGGTTTCAACGAGAGCTTTCCATCAATATTGAACAAGTAACAGGAATATTATCAAAAATTTTTAGAAGTTTAAAAATCCCAAACTAATACACAAGTTCTACACTATAAAACTCAAAACACCAAAATCTAAAAGATTTTAAAACCAAACTTACTTTAACCCTTAAGTTTAGAACCAAAATCGCAAATTCCAGTCTTTCTTCTCTTTTAAGGTTTCTTCAATCTTTTCTATTTTTTTGTATGGTGTTAAAAAGAACGTACGATAATTTTTTTCTCTTTTCTTTTCTTTTTATTCTAATTCAAAATATAAGCTTATGGGTTTTTAGCCCAACTATCCAATTTGACAATCTTTGGACTTTCTTATGACATACTACCATTTAAGAGAATTTTGTCCTCTAAGTTTGATGACATTACCAGTAAACTATTTTTTTTAAGGGCTTATACTGGCTATAAAACACAAAGTAACATCTTCATTATATGGTGCATCCGCTCTTACCATTTTGATTGAATAACTTCCCTTTTGCTTGGAAAATTATTCTAATTTTTCTTTATTTCTAAGATTTTATTAACCTTTTTTTCCCCATGAATTCTTCCTTTAAAATCTTTCCTTCTTAATCGTGTTAAAATATCTGATACATAAATGATATTCCTAATGGGATCCATACAAAGTTTTGATAAGAAAAACATAATAATTACTATAAAAGGTGAAATTAACAGCATCAAAATGAAACCTTTCTTGTAGAAATGATTGTCTTTTTTGTTTTAGACACTACTTATTCTCCACTCTTTTTCTAATCTCTAGCTCAAATAACACTTTGTCTAGGTAGAATAGAGAATATACCTCTATGTAAGAATCTCTCCATTTTTCCTATTTACAAAAACCTATGATCATATATCCTTATCATCATCATTATTATCATTATCATCATCAACTTATTGTATGTGGGGTTGGAAAACTAATGCAATCAACGTGTTATCCTTAAATTATTGTCTATGTAATATACTTATATAAAAAATTAACAATGGAGAAGAGAAAGAAAACAGAAAGACGTCTTTAAAGCAAGGCACTTATAAGAATATACCTTAAAGATAATAATTTCCTCACTACAATGCAAATAAACTCTTGGAAACATTATCCTCATGATATAATGCCTAATTTAAGAACTTAATTGCACTTCAAATTCTTTTTGAACTCATTTGAATAAAAACCAAAAAATAAAGTGAATGAGTGGAAATCTTATTTTTACTTTGAAAAAATATAAAATTGTGTTGAAAAAAAATGGATGTTAAGAATGTATTTATAAACCCCAAAAGGTGGCTCAAACACCTTTTCATGAATAGATATCCTTTAGATGAATAAACTCCACCTTTGGAATCAAACTGCATGTCCAATGGACATATTTCTTGATTTTCAAAAAACGGCATTTTGATGCTTGAAAAGAGAATTCTACTACCCTAATTATGTTTTCAAATGAAAGGTAAAAATCCTTTTTGGGTGTCCAACTGTTAGGCCATCAAAGCCAAAAAAACTCATCCTAATAAATTGCCTTCAAAAGGTACATGTCGACAAAAGACTTCATCCCAACAAATTGCTTTCATAAATGTCTAATTTGGCATAAGAGCTCATTGTAACTATTACTTTCATAAAAGCTTAGCTCGATCACCTCAGCCAAAAAGTTCATTTTGAAAAATTATCTTCATGAAGGCCTAACTCGATAAAAGATTTTAGCTCAATAAATTATCTTCATAAAGGTCTACCTTGAGAAAAGAGCTCATCGTGGCAATTATTTTCATAAAGGCTTAGCTTGGCCACTTCAATCAAAGAGCTCATCTTGACAAATTGCCTTCATAAAGGCTCTCATTGGCAAAAGATCTCCACTCAACAAATTGCCTTCAAAATGGCCTAACTTAACAAAAGAGGTCATTGCAGCAATTACCTTCATAAAAGCTTAGCTCGACCACATCAACTAAAGAGCTCATCCTAACAAATTGCCTTTATAAAAGCCTACTTTGGCAAAAGATCTCAGCTTGACCAATTTTCTTCATAAAGGCCCAACTCGACGAAAGAGCTTATCATTATAATTATCTTTACAAAAGTTTAGCTCAGTTACCTCGGTCAAAGAGCTCATTTTGATAAATTGCCTTTATAAAGGTTCACTTTAGCTAAAAAGCTCATCTCGACATATTGCCTTCATAAAGGCCCAGCTTGGTAAAAAGGCTCATTTTAGCAAATTGCCTTCATAAAGGCTTCACTTTGCCACCTTAGTCAAATAGCTCATTTTGATAAATTACTTTTATAAAAGCCCACCTCAATAAAAGATCTCAACTTGACAAATTGTCTTTATAAAGATCTAACTTGGCAAAAAAGCTCATTATGGCAATTGTCTTCATAAAGGTTTAGCTCAGCCACCTTGGTTAAGAATTCATTTCATTAAGTTGCCTTCATAAGGGCTCAGTTCGGCAAAAGAACTCATCTCGGTAAATTGTTTTCATAAAGGCTTAAATCAGCCATTTTCGATCAAAGTGCTTATCCCGATAAATTATCTTCATAAAGGCTCACCTTGGCTAAAGGGATTTTGATGCGAAACTAGAAGAGTGTCAAGGTGTTTATGAAGATATTTATGAATATTGTAATGAGTATATTTCTAGTAACAAATTGAAATATCTTAGAAAAAAAGAAGAAGTGTAAAAAATTCAATTGAAGCAAGAAAAAGGCTTGTTCAAAGACTACAATTCTTATTCTCATGCCACCAGTAATTTCAAAAATGATACTAGCATATCTGAAAATGATATGCGACATATGAACTTTTTGTATAGGGATGAGGCTATTAAAACTTGGGAGTCTAGAGATCGTCTTGCGCTATCCTATAGAGGTGATAAAGAGCTTATCATTAACAAGCTGATGGAACTTGAACAAAGGGAAGGAGATGATAATGTCAACAATTAGTAGTTTATGACTACCTTTTGGAGTTTTGACAAATCTTTTGGCAGTTTGAGTTGCAGCAATTATATTCACTTAACTGAATCATTGTTAGTAGTGTTCTCGATAAAAATGGTCATGAAATTGATCTTTGTTTCTTTGCTATCATTTTATTGGTACATTTGATCTTAGTATGTAGTATCTAATTGTTATCGCGTTTGTTCTTTTTCTCTTAATCATGTGGATTATCTTTTTTGTTCTCAAGTAGGTATTACGAGTTGCTTATATTGATTGTATCGAAACTCTGTTTGCTAGCTTTAAAACCTTTTGGTTGCTTTAATAAACTTGACTTAGAAAAAAAAAAAAAGTCAGAATCAAAGTTAGGTACCAATTGAGAATTTTTTTCTATAACTATTAAATTGTGAAAAGTGAGATAGTTCAAGTGCCAAATTAATTATTAACTCTAAATTTAATCCTGAATAGGAGAAAGTACAAAAGTGAAGATAACGCAAACTAGCTATTAACTTATCAAATCAAATTACATATTTCATACTTGTAAACACACAAACAACATCTTAAATAAGTGATTGGATTAAAATTATCAAATCAAAATAATACTAGGACTACATTTATATAAATTATAGTAAAGAGATTAAAATCTAAATTTAGAAGAGTATAGAGACGGTTGACGTAACTTGACCTCTAATCTATAAACATTGCTTAGGCCTAAGCTCAATTCCTTCAATAATAAGGCCAAGCTTAATATACCAATTATCAATCTCCCATACACTGTACTTTACAATCCCATCATCATCTTCTTCCTTTTCATTGTAAAACTCACCCATCTCAATCTCCATCCATCCGTCTCCTCTTTCTCGACATAGTTGAGGCATTCCAGCTGGGGGATCTAGGAACACTCTTCGTGTCTTGGCTTCTTCCTTTTTGTATTTTACATAGAAATTTACATGACATTGTTTGAACCCGAATCTATACTCTGCAAACTTGAACACCAAGTAAGCTACATAGGTTGTTTCAGGGGACAAGATTTTGGTCTCTATGTTTCCTTTAAAACCAATCATGCTAACACTCATGAGTTCAATTACTTCAGGGAATCTGGAAATGCATTATCACAACAATATAATGGCAAGTAATTAATAAGAAATATTACAATATTAAAAACAACCATATATCAACATTGCAACCTGAGTTTAGGGGATTGCATTCTACGTCCCACATTCAATTCCCTACTTAGAAATTAATTTGGATTCAACTAATGCTAATCTATGCATGCTTATATATATATATATATATAAAAGAGGCCTAGGTCTGAGCTAGAGATACCTAAAAGGATTGTGTATTAGCATTGAATAAATATGTGTATTAGCATATATAGCATATATTTGAAAATTCCCTTTTATTCATATATAGATATGTGTATTAGCATTGAATAAATTTAAATTGAAAATTTTTTAATTTAAACTTTTTAAATTAAGAGAATAGAATTAAATTGATATTTATCTATTTATTTTCCATACTAATCACTATTGAGAAACACTTAAAATCGATTGATTTGTAATAAATATTAAGTTATAATTCATGTGAATTAAAAAAATTCCAATTTAACTTTTTAAAATTTAACTTCTATTGACTAAGATAAATTAAATTTGAAATTTCAATTGAAACAATGAGTGTGATATGTATAATGATATGAAACATCAAAATTTATCTTTTTTTTTTTATCACAATTGTGTTTATTTTGATATAAATTGAAAAACAAAAAATATATTCTCATTAATAGATTGATCAAATATATTTTTAGTTCTTTTCAGTATTTATAATAACTAGTGAGCTAAGTGAACATTTTAAATATGAAAATAATCAAAATAAAACTGAAATAAGATGGAAGATGAGTTTTTTATTTTATTTTATTTTATAATAAATAACTTGGTTGTCAACATAAAAAGAAAGATTTAGTTTAGATTCACTAATTGAAGATTTTATTTTTTAGAAAAGAACATAGCTCACAATTTTAAATAAAATTATTTATTTGCTATATTTCATTTTCTTATACTTTTATTTTTAATTAATAAAATCTAAGATTTGATAAATTTGTTATTTTTTAATGTTTTATTCCGTATATGTTTTATGTTAATAAAATATATAATAGTATAACTCAAATGAAAAAATATATATAATTTTAAAATTTTAATTGGCCCACCTCAAAATCAAACATCAAGATTGGTGATTTCAATAATCAAAGTTCAAATCATGATAAACTCAATTTTTCAAAACAAGGACATTGAATTTAAGTGGTTAGGTTCACAATAACACTAGAGGAGAAAATTAAAACTAAGAAAGATTATGAACAAAGACACAAACCTGGATTCTGGTCGACATGTCCAACTCCAGTGTTTAGGTTGGTCTCCCCATGTAATTGACAACCCCCTTGCCCCCATCATATAGCATTTTTTCCCACTCCGTTTATCCAATGTAAAGCACTGTGATAAACAATTACTTAGGCCAATTGAAGTTCTTGCATAATTTAAGAAAAAGAGAAAAGAAATAATACAGTATTAATGGTGGAAAACAACTTATACCATGGTACCATTATCAATGATGATAGGGTTATTACAAAGATGGAAATATAGCTCTTTCTTGGACAAGGAAGAAAAAGTTTCTGCTGGTAAAGATGCGTTTGAAATGATATCTTGATAATCAGATGGCAGAAACCTCTCCCAAACAGTATCTGAATTGGCTGCTGATCTAAAGATCGGGGAGACAAGAGATGATCGACAAGCATCCCTTGGCGATGTGAAGGACAGGATGTGAGATAAACACACTTCTGGTAATATGGCTGTCATATCCGTCTTCATCTCTCTTCTTTTCCTTTTCTTCCCCTAGAAAACTAGTTTATCTGTATTGACTCTTTCAAAAACACTTCAGAAGACCTTTGGTAAATGGAAAATAAAAATTTTTATCGAAATTTCATTTTTCGTACTCTGAAATTTTTAGTGGCTTTTGATCTGTGTATACACGCATTTGATTCAATAGCACGTTTGTCCATTATGAGCAATATTGGATAGATGGATCGACAATTACTATGGACTGACTGGAAAGCCTGTTTGTCCATTCACAATGACAGGGATATAATTAAATTGAAATTCCACATGAAATTTTATATTTTGTCTCTAGTCGGCTAGCCTTTAAAATAAAACATTTCTAATTACTATATGTCAGTATTACTGCAACTATGCTTATCTTTCCTTGTCCTTGTCCCTATTAGTGTGCAATTCTTTAGTCTGCATCATAACTTAGCAAGTTACATTTTCATTCATTCTTGTTTGTATCACCACTAAAGAAGTATAGGCAACGAATTTTGCAATATTACAGACAGGAAATTAATTCCATATGCCTACCTTGGAGATGCTGTCAAATTTTGAGAACAAGACTATGTCTAGTTTGAATTTTTTTTTTTTTTTTATTGTCATTTTTTGAAGCACAGTTTTTGTTTTCTACAAACGAAAAAAAAGTTGTTTTCTAAAAATGCAAAATAATTAAATATATTTTTATATATTATACAATTTTTAAAAAATGATTAAGGAAATAAATAAAATACTTAATGTCATGAATTTTAGCTTCTCAATTTTATTTAGTAATTTTATAAATTGTTGCAAAAAGAATTTGAGTGGAAAAGGATAAAAGAGATTATAAATAAAAATAATTCAAGATGTAAAATATGTCTAAAGAAAGAAAAAGCAATTATGGAATTATCATAGCATGTAAGTCTAAAAACTTAATCACTAGATGTAAAAATATAGTTGCTACCAATTTTTTTGAAATTGAAAGTTGAAATGATCCTAAAACTTGTTCAAAATATTTAGGATTTTACCGAAGAGTCGAGATAATCTTAAAACTTATTTAATAAATTTTGAGAACTAACTAAAGAGTCAGGATATTCTTAAAATATTTTTTTAAAACAAATAAATAAAATATCTTATGACGAAATTTCGAGAATTTTGTGAATAGTTCAATTTTTTCGAAATATTTTCTAAATAGTAATTCTCTATAAATTCTACCAAAGCATTGGAGAATTTATAGAATATAAAAAATAATAATACTAATTTCACGACAAAAAATTTTTTAAATAAATTTTAAGAAATTAAATTTAAAAGACCATGTCATCAAAATTATGGGATTACATATGTTTAATTGGTACCGTTCTTCGAACGAGCGATGCGAGGGTGCTAATATCTTCTTCACTCGTAAACGTATTCCCGAACCTAACCCTGATTTCGTAAACCTAAACTTATTTTAGTAATTCTTAATTAATTTTAAGATTTTTACTAAAAGATAATATTTTTGTGGCCAATCACACCCTATAAAAAGATTGTTGGCGACTTTGAAAATTTTCACCAAGTCTAACGATTAAGTCCCCCCAAACAAAAAATCGTTATGACAGCTTGACGACTCCGCTGGAAACTTTTGAGAGTCAAGCCAAAAATTAAACATGCGTCATCCAAATTTTGAATTTTTTTTTGTTTCATTTAGTTTTGATATGTTATTATTTTATATTATTGCTAATTATATTGTTAATTTTATTAATAATTGTTGCATTCCCTCACACATGTGCACATTTGCTAAGCTCTATACCAGGGCTCCTAAATCTGTCCTTTTTTAGGAGGGAGTATAGTACCTACGTTTTCGTGAGGTTATAATGCCTCCGCTTGGGCTAGCGAAATACTTTCACTCAAGTTGAACCCTTTTCGTTGGTAGCTCATTATGGGTGAGGATTGGAGGCCTTACTAGTCTAGAGTGGATGACAATGAGGATCAATTTGGGAACCTCTTAACTTGTGTTAATTACTAAACCTGCATATAGTGAAACTTAAGAAACCAACTTTAGATAGGGCCATACCATTTTTGAAGATTATACCTTAAATTAGGACATATGAGAGAATATTTATTTTAATATGATTACTAACCCTATTTTGTTTTGTTTTCCTTTTGTTTCATGATCATGCATCATCATAAACACTTGCATATAGGATGTGCTTATCAATATGCCAATATCAATAAGAAGATTTTCAGTTTTGCTTCGAAAACACAATCAGATGTTCTCAGCTTTAAAGCTCACCGTATGTGTGAAGAGACCAATGTGGTGATAACTCCATCATTAGAAGCCCAAAGTAGAATAGGAAATTGTTTGAAAGAATCCGAACAAGAAATTTTACCTGAAGAAATCAAATTGGGACTTTAACAAAATGACATCTCTGAGTTGGTTGAGATCTGACGTCATGTAACCACTTCTAGGAAGATGGCTTTCGAGGAAAAATATGGTCATATTGCTTCACTGCCTAAAATGTCTATAGAAAATTAGTTGATAAGAGCTTTAATTCAATTTTGGGACCCCTTCATACAGATGTTTCATATTCAATGAAATAGATATGACCCTGACGATCGAAAAGTATACTACATTGTTATAGTTGCATCTCTCTAATCTAGATAAAATCTATTGGCGAGGTCAAAAACTTAGATCTAAAAAAAAACTTGCCTGTATGATGGAGGTCCCTACTCAAAATATGAACTCATATTTCCAAACAAAAGGTAAAAGTGATTGCATCCCGTGGGAAATCTTACGTGATTACATCATCAAACACTTAGAGGATGAACAAGGCATGAGAATGATAGCTTTGGCAATTTATGGCTTGATTATTTTTTCAAAGGTCTTGGGGCACATTGAAGTATCAATGATTGACTTTCTCGAGAAGGTGGACAATAAGATCAATCTTGTTCCTTCTATACTAACAGAGACCTTTAGATCATTGAATCACTGTCGAAGAAGATGAGGACACTTCATAGGATGCGTATAGTTACTTTACATTTGGGTAAAAAGTTATCTTTAACATCCCGTGAGTAAATTTCATCCTATTTATAGTAATAAAAGTAGGTCAATTGAAGAATGTTGCAATGTTGAGTGGTTAGAATTAAAGGCTAAGGAAGAATGGGTATTGACTTTGCAAAATCTCACTAGTGCTCAGGTTATATGGAAAGCTCCATGGATGCCACGAGAAGCCATGTTATACAAGTGTGGTGATAAGCCATGGGTTCCACTCCTAGGATCGTGGGGAGGTATAAGCTATGCTTCGACACTGGTTCATTGATAATTAGGGTCAGAGCAATTTGTCCCAATGACTTATGGGCTTCAAGAATTAGAATTCTCTTTTGATGAATCAAGATTTCTGGGAAAGGTAAAAAAGATTATCAGAGAATGGAAGCAGACTTGGAGAGTAGATTGTGAGGGATATACAAACAAAGTCACATTTGAATATCTGATATGAAAAAAGTCAACAGGTCATAAGCAAAGTTGGTCCTAAAAAATATAGACCATGCCACCAAGAAGACACTTATTGTGAAAAGATTCCTAAAGATATAAAGACGATGAAGAACAAATTTGAAGAAAAAAAAGAAATATGAGAGCTTAAAAAGAAGAAGCTTCAATATGAAATTAATTAGTGGAAAGATAAGACTAATAAAAGTGAGGTAAAGTCCCGAAGGCTTGAAAGAGAACAATAAAAGATTTCTGAAGCTGGCATAGGACCGTCACCACAATGACCACACAGCTTGAAGAATTCAGAAAGAACACAAAACAACTTTCAGACCAATTTGTTATGTAAGGAAAAAAAGCTTAGTCAGTCTATGGAAAAAAAGATGCTATAAGGTCTCGTAGATTACTTGAAACAGTAAATGCATTATCGATGTGAAGCCATTCAAGTTTTAAGAGAGGAACGAGATCAATTTGAACATAGAGCATAGTATTGGAAGGAAAAATATCAATTGAAAGAATTTCAAGCCACCCGCCTAGTAGAACAGATAAGAGAAGTTAGCTTCAAAGTAAAAGACATGGCCTAAAAAGCTAAACAAGTAAAGAAAAAAGTTTATCCAAGATAGCACAGCTAACGCTTGATCAATTTTCTATATAGTGCTTATGAGCAGTACAAGCATATAGGCACTTATTTTAAAATTTTATAATGAAAGAAGTATTTAGTAAAGATAATGTGAATTTATGATATGGTGGTTCAAGTTCAGACTTAAAATCTTTTACAAATATTGGATATATAATAAACACATCTTTTTTATTCATGCATTTATGCATCATGTGTGTATTTCATTTAAAAAAATTCACCATGACTAAAAGAAAGATGCCTCAAAATAACAAATCTCAAGAGTTTTCTTTAACTCAATTAAGTGCAAAGATAGTTAGGCCTTCAGAAAACCTAGATCAGACCACTCGTCATCATTACAATACTCGTTCATAAGTCAGGATCATGGAAAGCGAGTAGGCATCAAGAATAGAAAGGATAAAAAAAGCTCAATTTGATATGCAAGAGAAAATGATTAGGTCTCAACAAAAATTGATAGAACAAATGACTAAAACTCAAGAAGAGACCCGAAAAGAGATGGCTGTAATGATGGACATGATAAGGAAAATGAACAAAAAAAAAGGGTAGCTAAAGAAGTGACCACTAAAAAAGAGCTTCAAGCCTAAGTAAATACCAATGATAGGGAAAATTCATTATATCCACTAGGGTTTACTCCACCCTATGCTCAAACCTCTCATCAAACACATCCACAAATGACATAACCTGAAAGGCAGCCACATGCTCAGTTTAATTTACCTCCATTCATGGTTCAATCATTAGTCAAGGACATGTTGGTTTAAATATTAGGGCAAGTCATGTTGAGCCCATTATGATTTCAGATTTAGATGACCCAAAGAAACAAGAAAGACTAAAGAAAGGCACACCTGAACAATCTGAGAATAAGAAGGCACAATAGAAGTTAGATCTCTTAGAAGAAAGGCTGCGAGCTATTGAAGGTGTAAATATTTTTGGTACAATTGATGCCAGTGAACTTAGTTTGGTTTTAGATTTGATAATCCCACCAAAGTTTAAAGTATCAGAATTTGAAAAATATGATGGAACCATATGCCTTCAGGCACATATCACTATGTTCTGTTAAAAAATGACTGGGCATACAAATAATGACAAGTTACTTATCCA